TATTGGACGAGCAGCTGTTACCAGTTCGCTGGTAACTGAATATCGAGAATACGGTTTCTCTCGGTGGATCGATTGGCGAGCAAAGGATCCATTCACTCGGCTTTCGTAGATTGAAACTCGAGACGCGGGAAAGCGTGGCGTGGTGGAAACTCACCGAGGAAAGACGGTGGCGGAGGACGCGGACGACAACAGCGTGTCGTTCTCGTTCTGGAGTTCGCAGAGTTCGCCGTTGAACCACCAGGTGAGCTTGGCAGCCGGTACGGCGTAAACGTCACACTTGAGAGTGACGTTGTCCCCGTCGTAAGCCTCGATCCGTTCCTGCAGCTCGATCTGCGGCAGGCAAGCGAGCTCGTTGACGGCCTTGATCTGTTTGCCGCGCAGTTTCGGGGGAGCGTCGCAGACGGGCTCGGATTCCTGGGGTGCGGCCGGCGCGGACTCCTTGAGCCAGGCCTGCGTCGCCTGGAGGCGACAGTCGCAGAGCCACGGGTTGTTGTGCAGCGTGAGGCCCCGAAGGCTGCCACCGAGCGGCAGCGTGAGATCCGGCACGCGGATCAACCGATTGCCGTCGAGTCGCAGCCACTCGAGCAGGTGGAGGCCGTCGAACGCCCCCTGCTCGATACTGTCCAGCTGGCACTGGCTCAGTTCCAGGTTGGTCAGATGCGCCAGATGCTGGAACGCTCCGCGACGGATCTCCCGTATCGGGTTGCCGTTCAGCAGCAGCTTCATTAGGTTCGAGTAGGAGGAGAATGTCTCGCTGGGCACCTCCTCGATCAGATTCTCCGAGAGATCCAGCTCCACCAGCCCCACCAGGCCGACAAACGCCCTGGCCGCGATCCGACTGATGTGCGATCTGCTCAGGTACAGTCGTTGCAGATTGATCAGCCCGAGGGCGTGGAAACACTCCGGCGGCAGGCTGACCAGATGATTGTTCGACAGATCCAACACCTGGGTTTCCTCCCTGGCCCCCTGGGGCAGTCCCTTCAGGTCCCGGTTCGCGCACTCCACCCACTCTTTGCCGCTCTTCCATTTGCACGTGCACATGCTCGGGCAGCCCTCCACCGCCGAGGACGTCCACGATAACAGCATCATCGTGCCGAGAAGTGGCAGCCCTCTCCACCACCAGGCTCGCACGCTCGAGCACATGGTGTTTTCGTTCCCCGGAGAATCTCCTCTTCGACCCCTTTATTTCTATCTCATGTTCCTGCTCGCTCTCGTTTCAAGCTCTTTTGTCTCTGCTTCACCACCGTCCGCCGGCGATCCTCTCTCTCGCCGAAAACATCTCTCCTCGCCTTCCCGGATGGAGGAGCCTCCGCGCGCTGCTGCTCCTCGTCTGCCGCAAGCTCGTCAGGCCGGCGCGATCGATCTTCGATTCCCACTCTGAAACATGGACAACAACGTCGGTGTTATCGAAGCCACTTCTTGAGAAGAGTAAACCTGAAGAAATTCTATTTTTCGACTTTCGATCTACCATCTACAAATTTACGACGATCGACGGCCACGCTTCTGGCCCGTAGAACGCGATCTCTGAGCAACATTTTCGTAGCTTCGTAACCAACAAATGGTGTTTCATTTTAGGCAGCCACTCAGCGCGCACATGCTCGCGCCCGTAAACGAGCACTCCGAGTGTTCCCCCTTTCGCCAGCATGTACACGCTCTTTAAAACGATGAGGTTAACGCGTTCATCATCGTGCAGAATTTATGAGCTCGCAATGAACGTCCCAAAAATAGGTCAGAAGGTTCCATTAGCGCGTTATTTCCTTCAAACGATCTCGTTCCTAGTTGCTGTCTGTTCCTCCCAACGAGTTGTTGTTGTTTAACGAAACCAAAAAAGAAGAAAAAAAAAGAGAAAGAAAGAAAGAAAGAAAGAAA